CAAAAGAAGCTATATTCTTCTCTCAATTTCACCTCACATTACCTACCTACCACTACTCCTAATTGTAGGCATACGGGGAGCCCCGTAGCAGCCAGAACCTTGTTCACGGGAGAACATGCGGGGGCTGCTCCCGACCTGCAGGTGGGCGATACCGGCTAGGGGACAGCCGGTAGCATCAGGGGCCATGCCAACAGGACCAATCCCTGTGCCTCCCCTCAGGTCCCCTCCCCTATGAACATCAGCAGCAATGTCATCAAAAATTTTGTGGACAAATTATGCAGGCTCATGATACAAACATCAAAAAACCTAACAGGCAAAAAAAAAAAACCGAAAAAAAAAAAGAACTCGAGAGCACTATGAATTTATAAAACCCTTTTCGGAGCCAATCCACTTAAAAGTTTGTGGACGTGGGACACTTGAGTGCAAGCGAAAGGACACAAGTCACAGTCTCCACGAATCGGTGTCTCTAAGCATGTGGAACTCGTTCCACTTGATGTGAAGCTTATGAGGCAAATCCACTTTTTTTTTTTTTTTTTTTTCAAGTTTTGGACAGAAGCAAGTAACCGGATCTCTGGAAACGAATTCACACCACGTGACACCGGAATATTTAGCCTCACTTTTCTCCGGTTCGGCTGTATTAAAGGGACACTGGACCCGGTTTTCAGCAGGTGCGGCTCCCCACCAATAGATGGAGCAACCCGACAGCAAAGCCTCAATTCTGGTGGTTCTCTTACCACTGCCGGGATAGAGGCCTTGCAAAAAAGGGTTAAAAAAAAATAAAAAAAAATAAAAAAATTATGGACGAGTCAGACTACTTGCTTGTGAGGCGAGATTCCGTAGAAAAATGTCTGAGAGTGTCGTTCATACAGAGAGGCAAACTAGGGCACAGTCACAGCTTTAGTTTGGAAAATAATAAAAATATGTTTCAGTCACTATTTCGCGCATGTTGCGCCAAAGCGAGGAAAATGGTGAATGTATGCAACCTAGCTTCAGGGCGGTGAATGTATACAACCTAGCTTCAGGGTCAGGTGCGGATGTGTTGTATTCAAGGGATGCCTGAAGTGGATTTAAATTTTAAAACTGAAATCGGCACTCCGCCCAAATTATACCCCTCTCGCAAATGCTGTCACCTTTCATGGCCTACCTACCACTACTCCCAAGGCTATACAGAGCAATTGCATGTTTGGCCCTTGCCCTACTCCCAAGGCTATACAGGCTACCCCTGCGAGCATAGCTATCTACCTCTCTTGGTAAAGGGAGGTTTCCTGTCTCGGTGGAAGGAGGTACCGAGGTAGCAATTGCATGTTTGCCCCTTGCCCTACTGGTTTATTTAGGTTCAGTTTCCGCACCTTTCCAGTATCAACGCTTCCTTGAAATTACATATTTACATATACTCGAACCAAAACCTTTTTGACTGACTGCTGGACAGAATTCAGGGCAGATACATCCCAGACGTTTTCGGCTGTAATTCCAATCAGATTCATAAATAACTCTCATAATGGCAAGCACATGTATGCTCAAGAAAGTCCTCGTGTGAGGGTGTACTCGTATTAAAACGTTTCAACTAGACCTCCGGACGGCGGACGTGATTGCCGTCCCTCCGCCGTCCGATGCATCCACACGTGATCTGACAGCGGTTGTAACTGCGGTCAGATCTAGGTTACCAGAGTGGCCCGGGACCAGTTGCCCGGCCGGGCCCAAAAAAAAAGGGAGAATTTCGATATGCCCCTGAAAATTGCATATATTTGCGAAATACCCCTCAGACGGGTGACTTACCCTGATTTGCCCCTCTGACAGCAATTGAAGTTTTTGAAACACCCCTGGTGTCACTTGGGCCTGTAATATGTTCAATTTGCCCCTGCCGGTGCCCGTCCCAAATTTCCAGTATGCCACTCCTGATAGCAGTTGAATACCAGCAGAAATATTCTCCATATGCCCCTAACCGTACCTTGCATCTTTTCGGCGGGTGTG